TATACACTTTACGGCATGAATGAATTTTTTCGTTTTTAATACTAACGACTCACTTTAAATCGATCAAGCTGTAAACATTTGCAAGCTTTATTTGATGAATGAATATGAGTGGTGACCGTGACATGCATCGTTCCGATCAATTGTATTGGAGATTTCATGAGTGTCGCAAATATCATCGCACTGCTTTGCCGGTATACGTCGCCGCCATTGTTCATTCTCATCAATTCGTAATGTGAAAAATGACTCGGTGAGCTAGCACTCCACACCATTTGATAGTAAATTTTTTACTCGCAACTTTGCACTTCAAAATTTATCCAGGCTTATGCACGACCATAGTAACTTTCGGTTCAGTTTATGGAAGTATATGGTCAGATTTCGTAGCGTTAAGTTCCTTATTGGGTTCCCGCATACGTGCTGTGCAGTTGAAATTTGTAATTACTAAGTAGCATTCTCGATGATTCTTTGAAATAAAATCTTCGTCTGAAATGAAGCGCTATAATTTACACTTGATAAGTTAAACAAAGACGAATGACTTTATGACGTTATTTTATTTAAAAAATTCCAACATTCAACAGGAATCCAACATTCAACTCAACAGACAACCACAGGCTGAGCACTAGGTTATGATACTCAGAAAGATAACCGCTTCACATTATTACTAGAACATTTAAAAGTTGCTCGTTTGTACGAAAGTAAAAAGTTTATTCCTCAACTAAGGTTTACATTTTTACAAGTTAATTTATAACACATCAAGGTAGTTCTGGATATAAATTTTTTCTGTGCGCGAGAGATGCACGGTTTCTAATCATTATATTGGTCAAATGGGGGCCAAAGCTTTAAATCACTTACTACACAATCTATAGAATCCTCAGAAGGGTTTTATTAAGGTCATAAAAGAATAAAATAAAATATCTATAAGACAGCTCAGAAATATTCCGATAGTTAGGTCTTGCATGACTTAGAAGACAATAAGGCATTATATAGCGCCGTGGCTACTCTGCCATTAATGGAATAACGGCTGAGTAGGCACGAGCTAATTTTTGAATATTTTAGTGCTATACACTTGCACCGATGTCGATAGAATCGCTAAATTGACGGAAAGTTTGAATAATCTTGGCTCAATATTTCAGTTCGAGAATCTCGCGATTCGATAGTCATCAGACTCCTTGAAGCCGGTAACGTTTTTAGGAGCGAATTTGAAGTAATTTTATAGACAAAAATTAGTAAGTATTAAACCTTCTATATGAATGTGATTACGGTGCTAATTGAGGACATTATATGGATCTATCATAAGTAATGTGCAGTGTATATACTCTTCGAAATATTCAAACTTACAGCAAATATTTGGGCAAAACCTTGCCGTCGGTCCCTATGAACGTGTTGTTGCATTTCTGTCAAGTTATATGAATCCGAAAATATTTTTCAAGAAGATTTTTCAGTCTTCGCAAAAATCCAATTTGAACATAACGAATTTTAAAGAAATGAATTATGCGTAAATGAATCTTATCTGCAAAAATCATCAATCAAGAAGAGGTGTCGAAAGATGAGAATATTGAATAATTGGACAGTAAATCAATAGTAGGAATGCGTGCACAAATCGAATAGTAGTACGTGTTCTCATTTGCAGTGAACAGCCTTCACTTCGTCAAGGCCTCGAGGTCAGTGCCAAGAGCTCCAACACTGAACATCGATCAGGCTCAAGCTATTCCACGCACGCTGGGCAGTGGCTGACAAAAGACCGAATGCTTGGAACTGCGGCTGACAAAAGACCGAATGGTTGGCACTGCGGCTGACTAAAGACCGAATGCTTGGAACTGCGGCTGACAAAAGACGGAATGGCTGGCACGCGGCTGACAAAAGACGTCATGGTTGGCGTTGCTGCTGACTAAAGACGGAATGGTTGGCACTGCGGCTGACAAAAGACGGAATGGTTGGCACTGCGGCTGACAAAAGACGGAATGGTTAGCACTGCGGCTGACAAAAGACGGAATGGTTAGCACTGCGGCTGACAAAAGACGGAATGGTTGGAACTACGGCTGACAAAAGACCGAATGGTTGGCACTGCGGCTGACAAAAGACCGAATGCTTGGAACTGCGGCTGACAAAAGACCGAATGGTTGGCACTGCGGCTGACAAAAGACCGAATGCTTGGAACTGTGGCTGACTAAAGACGGAATGGTTGGCACTGCGGCTGACAATAGACGGAATGGTTGGCACTGCGGCTGACAAAAGACGGAATGGTTGGCGCTGCTGCTGACAAACGACGGAATGGTTGGCACTGCGGCTGACTAAAGATATTATGGAGACATTAGAATTTTTTGTAAAAGATAGATAAATATAATGGGACTGAGAGTTAATAATGTACAATGCGTGGCTGACAGAAAGCTTGAAGAATTCGCGACATCAGTGGAACAAAATATGACAGGTAACTGCTAAAGTCGCAATATCGTGGCATGGAATTATGATGGCAAAGCGACTTGCAAGCATAAGCATGGCATCTCAGTTGATAAAATAGCTCGTTGGTACTATCAGTAACTGACATCAGATTATGCATGATGGCCGCCTAACTCGCCAGCAAGGCTCTCGTTGTAGCTGGCAGCAAATGATGCATGATGATCGAGTTAAAAGCCCTAAGTTTATCAAATTGGAATATCACGCACTATGCGTAATATTCCAGGCATCAAAATTTCCAAGCACATGATCATTTAGAATTCAGTAACTCTCATCGAAGCAAAAACTGTATTCTCAGAAGACACAATCATGTATCAACGATTTAAAGTTCGAAATAACATTCGGTCACTACGGATGAATTTTAGTAAATGTATATCGGTTTAGAATGATTTTCATACTGAGTTGTATACAAAATAGTACACGGAGATAGAGGGCATAGTTTGGCTCAAATATTTGGGAGCTCAAATGGCTGGTGATGAATCTAATGTTGAAAAGATTCAGATTATAATGAAAAACTATTTCTCGAGACAGATGTTCAACCGGCATAAATATAGGGTTGAGGTTTGAGCGATACATATGTGTGCACTTTATTTGCAGACAAAATTAAACTTTGATGCGGAAATCACAGTAAAACGTTGCAATTGTTGAAATTGAACATGAAGGCAGCTATAGTTGCAAAACATGACGTTGTACGAGGCAATGATTTTCACGCATAATCAACCGCCGTTGTGATGGCGTTAGTTAAACGTTGAAATTTAGTTATATCTGAATAGCCTGTATTTGTTCAAAATTTAAATGCCAAACATATGTGTAAATTTCATCAAAATCAAACAAACGAAAATCGACGTTACATGTGGAATTCCGATTGTCTCGCGTCTCGTCTTATATTATATGTATAAGATATCTTATATATTATTGTCTCGACATTTAGACGTCAAATTCATGTTTATTCTGGTTTATCAACATTGCAATTAAATTTTAAGTAATAATATTAGTTGTTCTACGTAATGTCATTTGCCTATTATAGGTTGGATGTCACCGCGACCTGAGGACCAGAAAGAAAAAAATGTCTTATAGACTACGTGCGTCCGCACAATTACCGTATACGTTTAAAAGCAATTTTCCGATAACAGAAATATCAGAGTTTTCATCACTGATGTGATCGAATGGACGAAATTACTGTGCCTAAGAATGTAAAAATAAATCTCGTCCACGCTCAGCTAACTCGGATAATTGAAAAAATGCACGCGCCATTCGACCTTGCCCAGACTGCTAGACTCGAGTCTCCAATGCTATCTGTGCTAATTTGAGGCTCAAGATATTACCAACAGAAATTATTCGGTACAAAAAGATTATTACCTCACGAAAGCCGCAGACATCGACTGGAACGCACACGAATTTGTCGCCAAATTCCATCAAACTTTATACCCGAGCACGCGCACTTGGTGCAATAGTAATTCAATTAGTTAATGACTTTTAGTTAATGACTTAGGAATTATTCAGCGCCAAGCTCATTTTTACACAAAGAGCCATTATGAAGCAAAGCTTCCTGGTTTATGCTAAAGTAATTATCGCAAAGCCCTTGTTCGCTTGACACGCCATGACGTACATCAATAATGCGAATTCTTCAGCGTAACCCAGGGCCAAGGTTTTGTTTGTATTCTCGACCTTCAATTAATACCGGAGAAAATGGTTCCACAGTTCGATACTTTTTAGCGGATTTTCTCATTTATGGAAAATAGGCGCTATTGTGCTCGCTATATCCGTCTGTCTGTCCGTCCGTCCATCTGTCTGTCTGTCCGTCCGTGACTTCACGTTTTCGTCGACGAGAAAATGCGCTCTCTGTCACTCACTGCACTGAGTACTGAGTTATATTTTTTAATAAGAACATTCAAGTAATCCAGCAGATCGTAAAAATGTGCTCTATTTGAGAATGGAGACAAATTTTGAACTCTGAGATGAGTAACATGAACATCACACCTTGCGGAAGGACGTCCACTATTCCCACTTACTACTTACACAAAACTCGTATATGCCATTATTTAGGAGACTACTTATTGGGTATTTCATCCCTAATTGCAATTTACTGATTAACCAAACCATTAGGGAGCTGGTACGCGGGGAAAGAAGCGGCGGTTATTACATCCGTCAATTGGTAAACGCCACAAACCACCTTACCACCAGCCCTGTGTATACAGGGGCTACTGGCTACGGGTCCAGTAACTCTTTACACGAGGCCATTGACATGATTATTAGTCATAATTGGCATTTTAAAGTTTAATTGGGCGCCGCAACAGATCTCGTGGTTAAGCACCTTAACAAATATTATTATAATCGAAACTTGTCATACACACGATTATAATGTGTGATAATACTTCTAGTTCAAAATTTTATTGAAAATCTTCGCTGTTGATTAAATATTTTCTGTTGCACCTGGTGCAAAATTGTCCAATCTCATGTCCGTGTTTGTTTTTTGTGTTATTGGATTCCCGTCGAATCTCGTCATTTGAAGTTTTTTTTTGCCGCTGGAAGTCAATGACTTCTTTCTCCAGGCAGAGGGTCTAGCGATGAATTTAGGCGTCAATATTCAATGATAGTTTTTGCCTTTGTGATGAGGTGTTGCTGAGGTACGGCCTAGCAGAACAAATGGACTGCAGCCCTCAACTGTCCAGTAGTCACGAACAATCACAACTCCAATCGATCAGGGACGGGTGGCGGAGCCTCAGAATGCCACTTGTTTTATAGCGAAACTTGCGTCGCAATTCAAGAACTCGGGAAGCGCCGACGGTATGAAGGGACGCAAAAAGTCCTTAATGGACAGGTGGGTGTGATTTAAAACTTAATTTTATTAGTTTAGTTTATTATAAGTTTTACACAGCAAATAAATAACAGGTCTATGAAATAAATTTGTACTTTATTGATGTAGTAAGAAAGAAAAAAATATATGTGCATGCTAAGTAATCTAGCTAACATTTTGTCGGTAGGAGCCTGGTCTTGTAAATTGTTCTATTGTGCTATTGAAACAACCATTTATATATAAAAGGGAGGAGGTTTCCTAACTGATATATTTCATTGATTCATCACAGTACAAAAGTTATCGTAACCAATTACCTATAATTCAATCTCTTGTGACTGGATTGAACTTTTCAGCCTACAAATTAGCAGGAACGAATCATTTGTTGTAATCCAACGAGATGAATGCGATGAATTTCTTAAAGCCCTGGATTATTTATGCTGATATTTCGAGAAGTCGATAAGGAACACGAATAAGACATACAAAAACCTTTCCGTTTGACCACCAATCACAGTTGTATAGGGTTTTTAAAATGTAGTTTTCGCTTTCCGAAGGAGAGGAGGAAATTACATATTTTTCCTTTGCCCATTAGGACGTCGCTGGACTTGTCCTGGGACGCATCGGACATGGACGACGAGGATGGGACACCGCGAGCTGAGAACATCACACCCAATAAGGCGGCTGTCAACAACAACAATACGAACAAAACCAACGAAAACAAAAAGAACAGCGCCATAGAAACCCAATTCAAATCTCTAACTGACGGACATGACGCATTGATAACCGAGGATGAATTTGAAGATAACAATAATGCAAGCAAAAATGAGTCATCAGGTCAGGTTCCGGCCTCTGGAAGCGACACCAAAACAAGCAATTTAGGATCCAAAGTTAACGAGCTCAGCCCTCTTTACTTGTACGACACCGACGAAAGCGACGAGTTGTACGAGGAAGCTAGTGGGTGAGTGTAGTAAAGCGACGAGTTGTACGAGGAAGCCAGCGGGTGAGTGTAGTAAAGCGACGAGTTGTACGAGGAAGCCAGCGGGTGAGTGTAGTAATGCGACGAGTTGTACGAGGAAGCCAGCGGGTGAGTGTAGTAAAGCGACGAGTTGTACGAGGAAGCCAGCGGGTGAGTGTAGTAAAGCGACGAGTTGTACGAGGAAGCCAGCGGGTGAGTGTAGTAAAGCGACGAGTTGTACGAGGAAGCCAGCGGATGAGTGTAGTAAAGCGACGAGTTGTACAAGGAAGCCAGAGGGTGCATGAGTATTGCAACAGTGCTAGGCAATACTTCAGTGAAATTCAAACATTACAACAGGACGAAAAGTTGCAAGAATTAGAGCTGCGCAGAGAAGTCGTGCATTGTGCAAGGATACGCGACGATTGAGAAAGAGGCAGCCGATTTCAAATCATATAAATAAGCCAACTTTATTCGTTATTGGACCTACTAGAGAAAGCAATCAACGGGTTTCCATGCAATAAGTTATATATTGTGACTGAGCGTTTTGTTACTGCTATGGTCAAATGAATATATTACGAGCTTTGCGCTCATGACCAACATGTTTTTTTTGTACAGTATATTTCCTTACCTCTTGAAATTAGTATTGATACCGTTGATACGATTAAATGATTGAAATTAAATGATGTCAGACTCTCAAATAAAATCTCAAGTCTACCTACCTCGACCACTTTGTCCCTGCAACAGTTACCGTTCTCCTGCACCTTCGCGTCTGTCCAATTCCCCCTTCTACCGGGACCGTCTGGCGCACTCGGAGAGTTTCGATGATCCAGACAACGAAGACGATGATGAAGAACTCATGGAAATTCAAATCCAGACTCTTACGGGCACCACTTTCAGGGTGCGGGTGTCATCCAGAGAAACCGCGTGGGGCCTCAAAAACCTGCTGCACAGAACCGAAGGTGCTCACTTGAATCTAGTCTCAAATTGCGACAATTTTAAGTTTTGTGTGTAGGTTACTTATGTCATTCTTTTGGACACAATCTATTGAATTTCTTTCGTGGATAACCACTAAACTGTTGTTTGGCCTTGCCACTTTTAAAAACATAAAAAAAGCATTCTTCATGTACACAAAAAGGCCACTTTTCTTGAACATAACAATGAGTTTCAAAGAGGTAGGATGGCAGTTTTTTGGATTTCTTCGCCACGTATCAAAAAAAAATTGCAAATTTCGATTACAATGTTCGCTTTTTATCCTCTTCTTCTTTCTTGGTGGAAGAAGGTGAGAATACCTAAAAGAAAGCACAAGAATGCCACGATACCGACAGAAAATTTGTTAATTTTTCCTCATAGTTCCATACTCAAATAAAGTTGCATCATTCTTTGAAAATACTCACCTGCAAACCCTCTACAATTCAATATGATTTCTCAGGTTAATCAGTACTGGTGTTTTCCAGGCCTGGTGTGGAGCCAGCAGCACCTTCTGCTGGGCCAGCAGGAGCTTCAGGACGACGTGCCGCTGCAGCAGCAGGGCGTGACGCACGGCTCAGTGCTGCGTCTCGTGATCAGCCTCAAGGGCGGCCCCGTGAACGCCAGGAGGAACCTGCCACCTGACGACCTCTTGCTCAGAGAAGTCAGCGAGATCATGGACGAGAGAAGGTAATGAAGGGCTGATGACTAAAAGGTAGTTCAAGAGACCCGAGACCTTTAGGCTAAGAAAATTGTAGAAATCTTCCCTAGAACACACGAGGCTTGTTAAGTGACTAGACGAGACATCGAGTTCATCCAATTATTGTATAAGTGGCATTGCAAACTCTTGTGATTGAAAATCTAGATGTTGTAATAGTGGCATTGAAAACTCAAGGGATTGAGAATTTAACTATTATTAGAAGAGATTTTTAAAGCTCTAGGTATTGGAAATCATACATTTTCCGTGAAACGCATATAAGATTTACAAAAAGAAAGTTCAGGGATGTTGTAAATTAGAACTGGGAGACAGGAATACTTTTTAAGTCAAAGAATTTAGACTCAATAGGTTGATTTCGTTCAATAGATTCTTTAAATTAAAGATTGTCGTCGCTTCTTCTTTCAAACCGCGAGATTCTAGTATGAGAAGGTTCATATTCTTACCAAAAATGGCCAAACATATGTTCTATTCTGCAAAAAAATACATCTTGTCCAGCCAATGTAAATTTTATTTTAAAATTGTTTTTAACGTTTTGAAATTGAAATTTTCGAAAATAAGCGAGGGCTCCAAATTCTTTAGAAAATTTCTCTACGATTGAGTTGATTACTCTATAAAAGTGTTTCATATATTTTTTAGAATTTCCAAAGTGTGTTAGCACTGAGCACAATTTGTCCAGAGACGAACTGTGGGACTCGTCAGGAGGTCGGGCCGTGACGCTGCTGGTGCTGCGAGACGGCGACTCCGTGAACCTGTACCGGGTCATGGAGCACGAGGATGGGTCGTTCTCTCCCCTCAACCAGAGCTGGGCCTCCAGCACACCTGGGTCTGTTAAACCATTCGTAACTGCTATAATTTTTTCAAATGTTAAATCTAAATGACGAATAAATCTGAATACATCTAAATGACGGACCTTAGTCAATACTAAAACACACGAGGCATGTTTTTACCGTTTTTAATTTACGCCGCCGCCCGCAGCGCTGCGGCCGCCGTTTAGCGTAAGTGCGCCGTGTAGCTAGATTTCTTGGGAAACCATGGATGCCATTACGAACTATCCGATCTTGGCTACATTTATTTACGTTATTTAAAGTGCCTCCATCTATTGAGGATCCTGCCCACTACGAGATGCTTGTCCGTTTCTGTGCCCAGGCTATCAAATCGATTAATATCGATAGCCAAATCAGTGGAGTACATTGTGAAAATATTAGTGAGAACATCATGAGTGACGATGAATTTTGCGGAAAGACGGCTGCAAAAACAGTCTTGATGAGGAGCAAAGTAGAAGACCTTCAGTCATTACCAATGATCTATTAGAAAAATTAACTTTACAGTGAAAGATAACAAACGATTTCGTCCTTAGCTGAAAAGTTTCCTACTGTCTCATGAAGAGGTGTTTACGAAATTGTCATTCAGGTTGTAATCAACTTCCTTGATTAAAAGTTTATTTAGTTAATTCAACGTCGAATCTAATTGGTGTGCCTGGGAGCCAAGGTTCTTGCCCAATGAACTTCCAGGCTCCATCTAACTAACAAATTAACAATGAACTTCCAGGCTCCATCTAACTAACTATTATAACATTTTTCGCCCGTTTAGACTACGGCTGACACTGTATTTGTTTCCAGCGGAGCGTTGGAGCGCTCCCTGGGCTCTAGAGCTGACGAAGATGCCAAGACGCAGTCCACTCTGGAGCAGCTCAGGGCCAAGATGGAGGCGATCAAGCTCAATGCCAAAGTAAATCCAGTTTTGTATACTTTCTAGGATTAGTCAATGCAAAATAGATGAAGGTCGACGAATTCTAGGAATTCATTCCCAAGTTCTATGAGAAGTGAGCATTGAGAAGTGTGTAGGTAGCTCAATTGTTTTCGGAAATACGGAAGTGTAAAAAATAATGTAGTTATGGTGGTCGGTCATTAATAACCAAGGATTTAAAAGCAACAAATTTGTATTAAAAACTGTTCGGATACCAGCTCCATCATTATTTCAAAAAATTCAATTAGTCAAGAATTGCTTAACTTTTAATTGTATCATTGAACTTTCGTTGATGGTGCTGCTATCCAAGAAATTGTTAATGGCTAATATGTGCTTTAAGCAATTAATGATCTTAATACTTTCTTGCACTTGAGATAGAAGGCATCTGAATGACGGACGACGCACAGGCAGATTCCTCGAACATATATTATACTCGTAATTTTCAAGCTTAAAAAAACATGACTTTTGCGTTCAAATACTGTTTGAACAAATTAAGATATAATGTGTTCGATTTTGGCAAAGTCGAAATAATCTGGCATCATGTAAGATATTGCATTATGCCATTGGTTGTTATTTACCACATGTTCCGAAATATGATGAATCTCTGATTATAATTTACGTTACCTGCAGAAGAAGAAAAAACCTCTCTCTGGTGGAAGGAAGAAATCAACTGCTCAAGGTACCAAGAACAGCGCTGTCCAAGTGAAGCCAGTGGCAAACAAAGCTGTTGAAGGCAAACAACATTTCTCCAGCATTCCACCAGACCTCGTTAGCGACATCACACCAAAAGTCAAAGCAGCTAAGGTCGAACAACGCAAGCCCAAAAGTGGAGGACTTCGTAAGATACATACAAGGAAAATGAGCACTAGGCCATCTACACAGGAACAACGATCTTTGGAGCTCAGAAAGACAAGCGTGTCCCGTACGGCGGTAATATCGGACGAATTTCCACACTCTCTGCCGCCAAGATCTATCGACTTTTCCGGCAAACGACCTCTTGATGATATAAGGTCCAAGAACAACCGAATTAGACTGGGGAAGGTGGAAGAAGATGTACCTAGTAAAATTGGCACTATGGTTAGTGGTGCTGCGACGGCAGAGAGAGCGGATGTAAATGGTTATTCATCTTATAGGCAGTCTTTAGTTAGGCATGGGAGAGAGGCTGGGCCGAAAAGCATAAATCAGGAGCCAGCTATGGCTTCCCTTCCAAATGCACCTCCTCGTAGATTTAATCCTCCAATGCCTTTCTACCCTCCCCAAACGAGACCTCGTAGAGAGGTTGATCCTCTGTATAGTTCGCACAACAATTTCGACAGGCTCCCAATTCCACGGGATTTTGATAATAGACCCAGAACATCCCCTGAAATACTAGAAAGACGGCCCGGATCAACTCCAGAGAGCTTTAGAGAAAAAATTCAGCTTCGTGACCCCAACCCTCAACTAATGGACTTGATGAACATTTTAAATTCTTCTAGAAGAAGATCGCTAGACCAAGCGTCACAGTCATTTGGTGCTAAATCAGACCATAAAACTTTTAGGGAATTTAATAACATTAGTCGCACAAGTCACGGAGTAACACCTAGGAAAGTAAAAACCCCGATGACGTCGTCATTCGGTATCATGTCGAAACCCTCTAGCGCGAACAGTGGCCTTTTCGCCAACACTATGGGATCATCAGGTTCAGCGGAACAAACGGAATTTTTTCGTGAGCTCATTCGTTCCCAGGTCGCAGCATCCCAATTTTCATCTAGAAAAACCACGCCTGACCAAGCAAAGAAGCCTCGAAGGCCAGTAAGTGGTCGTGGCCACATCCCAGCCTCACCTGCTCGCCTCCCGCCGGTTACACCTAGTCGAAAAAAACGTGCTGGAGGACGAAAACCAAGATGCGCTCAATGCGGTAGGAGGATTCAGATCTCTTCTACGTACAATTGCCGTTGTGGGGGACTTTTTTGTGCTCAACATAGATATTCCGAAGCACACAGCTGCAGTCACGATTATAAGACAGAGGGACGCAATCTCCTGCAGATCGCCAACCCTTTAGTTGAACCTCAAAAACTACCAAAAATTTAGTCGGAGATCTCACAAATTTTAAAACCAAGCACTTTTCGTCAAAAAACATCTATTTTTTTTAATTATTGTTAATAAAATAAAATGTACCAAGAGTAAATGAAAGCTGAATCAACTTGAGCTCCTACCGCATTTTAAAGAGGGTGTTCAAATTGAAGGAAAGAATACATAAGAGTTCGTTTCAATAGCGACACCTAAGAGGAAGCAGAGTAGGACCCATTGCCAGCGAAGTATCAAAAAGAGACAAAATAGTCTACGTTAAAATCATTTGCTGGCTTTAATTGCTTGTATATCTCTATTACTTACCTGAATAATTATAGGCTACAAATAGGATAGCATTTCTCTTCTGTGATATAAATGTACGAAAGAATAATGTATCCATTGCGTGAACTCTGTTTTTTCTTCTCCTAAACATATGATTAGTGATTACAGTGAAAAGAGCTTTGTCATAATAAAATTGTTCATTAAAATAGTATCGGGATGAGAGTATTCAAGTGATAATTCATCGGAATTTTTGTACATTCCGTAAAAATAGGGTTACGTGCCGCACCTCATCCTAAATTAAATTGAAAATTCTCAACATCTGAACACCTGTTGTGCGTGAGCATTGCACGTCTAAAGCTGCATCTAGACACACACTAATATTGCGCAATATTTTGTTTTGCGCAATAATGTTGAATGTCTAGGGGAAATATTGACGGGTGGCGTAATATATTGTGTGATTTTCAAGAACTTGAAAATATATTGCACAAACTAAAAAAAACTTACGCCGTCTAGGGGGCTACATTGCGCAACATTTGCTTGGTGCAACCCTAGCCTAGCTTTCTTTCGAAGTGGTTTTGTCAATCGCGTTCTCATCATGGCGGGCGAACGAAACTGCTTCTAGACTTCATTAAACTTTAAAATGGTCGCGAAGCTTTATTGAAGTTTAAATGTGAAGATAATACTAATGGTTCAAAAAAGGGAAGCAGTACGAGATACTGAATAAAAAGTACTCTCAGTTCATTTACAATTTAGTAACTTTTTGTGAATAAACTTTTCCCTGTGAGTAAACAATTACTTGGACTATTTCTCTCTATCTACGAGCCTTCTTTTTCATATTCTACGACTTTAGGCTACATAATGATGACATAACACGATTCAGTTTCACTCAACATGTTGACTTCATGAAAGTCTGGCAGGGACTGTTCGCGCAATATATAGTGTGTCTAGGGGAGTGATTGTGTAATATATTGCACAATCGCTCAATATGGCTCCTAGTCACGCAATATTATGGTGCAAACCAAAATATTGCACAATGAAATTAAGCGTCTAGGGGTTGCGTTACATGGAAGCTGTGTTTAAAATTTTGGCTTCTGATAGAAGCTATGACAATTTTTCCTCCCCACTAGTGTCAAAAGATGGAATACAAATAAATAGCATGTTCCATAAATTATAGGCCAGGTCTGCCTAATCACACGAGTGGCCTTTAAGGTAAATTTTGCCAAGGAACATAACTGAATAGTTTCACGGCGTGATAAATGTTAGGTAAGGTCTGCACAGAAACCTAGTTGAATGGTGTTACGGTCAATTGAACGGATTCATGAACTTTTAGCATTGGGGCCTACACAGAGTCATCACTAGGTTTCAAAGATCGACAAAGATTGAAAGGGTTGCCAAAATTAATCTCATGAGATTAATGATCATTCATATTAAAGCTAAAAATGACTGGCTGTACGATTATTTATTTCACTATGTTCAAGCCATTTTAAATTAAATTTGATGGCATATTTTTGTAACAAATCATAGTATAATAATAGTTTCCGTAAAGGAACATAAAATTTAGAGAGGGCTTAGTAACATTTTGAAGAGCCCCCTAAATATTTTCCCTTAAAATAGCCCCCAGCGACGCCACTGGGAACGTTAAGGGCTGTAAACCTATAAATTGGTGTAGAAATATCAGTCCACTACTGAGACAACCAAGAATATAGCACTGACTGACACAAAATCGAAGCACATTCCCTGACACTCGAAATTGAAGTAAAATCTCATGAAAGAAGGAACATATAAAGCACGAAACCCAAAGAATTACCTTCATTGTCATTTATTTTTGCGAGATACTATAGTTCACGAGTTAGAAAAAGTTCTATCTAACTTTATAGCGTCAAACGTTCCGAATTTTGCGCATGTCGGATGCGACCTCTGAACTAATAAGGGGATGAACATGAGATGGTGTGACCAAGAGTTAGCTTATAGTTGAGATAATAGCGAACTTAGCCGAAGAATGGCGAAAAGTAGGCAAATAATAAACTTACCTTAGAAAATACCACAGAAGAACATTTATTGTGCTTAGTTGCCGCGAAAGGTAATGAAACGCAAATTTATAGAGATAACGCCAGTCACACTTCGCATTCATCTGAGTTAGCAGCAGTGATCCTGTAACACTAATTGTCTTGCCGCCGACACCGATTGATTAAAGCAGATTAGCTTGGAGCGAGCCCGCAGGAGAGGGTTGTTCGAAGATTAGAAAGGTGCCATCTCATCAATAAATCTATTGCAAATAAATAGGTTTAAAATCAATGGAATAATCGGTAACCAAAAAACATCATAAGCCGCCTGGCTCACAAACGACCAACTTGAAGGCAGCGTTGACAACCAAGAACCTATTACCTGTCTTTAAAGCTGAATAGTATGTGTCGAATACTCAATATTCACTATATGTGTAAGAGACTGTAAATCATTCTCAAGTAGATCGTAAAATTACCAATCCGTTCCTAAATATTGGAACCATTTTGTAAGTTGATACTTTGTCCTCGTTCCCCAACTTTATCTTACAGCAGTTTTTAAAATAAAATTTGAAGACTTCCAATGCCAATGCAAGCCAAACCTCCTCTTTGTCATAATTTTACAGCTCTGTCCTGCAATCCAGTTGTTCACTCTGATATGCGTGTAATCTGAGCTTTTCGACTGTATGTTCAATGCACATTGCACACATTAGCCGTTCAAAATTCACTATGGATCAAGGCTAACATAAAACTATCCATACGTACTGAGAAACCGTCAAAACCCTTAACTTCAGAAACTCAAAATTCCGAATCAAATGAAGTTAATTTTAAATCTACGATTTTCAAAAGCATTTTTATTCGGAGCACTAGACTCAATGCAGCTGCCAGTGATGATACGATTAATATGGCATAATTTTGAATTTAATTTCAGTCGTATTGTGTGAGAAAAAATTATCTATCCAAAGCCGTTTATGTGAATGGCTTTGATTGAACAACGCACTATTCAACTATGATTCTATGAACGCTAATTAAGGCAATAACCGAAAAATATCTTCTAGGAGGATATTTTTCATGAACGACTTATTTATTTCTTTCAGACTAATAACGAGCTGCCAGCCAAGGTCTTAAATCCAGATTCGTTAAATGCTTATATTTTGAGATAAGAATTGGGGTTCAAGTCACTGGATATCTTTTGGGGACGAATTGTCTGAATGATAGAAATAAAACTCGAGTTTCTGCCTACAGATTCTGCAGAACACGACAATAATTTTGATTTGGGGATTGAAGGAAACTCTGAACACGCTACAGATATGGTTTATTTTACAAAGTAATCAAATTTAGTGAGTTGTTCATTTTGCGAACTACCTTAGAGAACTTCATAGCGTCACTGAAATTGTAAATTTATTTCTACTCAATCAATGTGCATTCATAGTACCTAACTTCATCCACATGAAATAATTTCCGCAAATTCCTCGAAATCAAGTTGCGTAGCCTAATTTGAATTACTATACAAGTAATTTTATTGTTTGCTAAATGTTGATGCGTGGTTACATCGTTCAGTACATACAGCGAAATCAAGAAGATAGGAAGGAGGGAAAACTGGAGCTTGGGACACATTCGGCAACCCTTTAAATCTAACTTGGATTGAACACCACACAACCGAAGGAATAACGTACGCAATTACAGTCACTTAACTTTAAGAACACACAGACCTATGCTAGATGAGCAATTAACAGTTCTTCCAGCCATCAGAAGGCAACCATCATGTGAGATTTAATTATTGCACCAAAAATTCTTTTATTGCGAAAGCAAACAACCGAGTACAAATTTTGTAGTTAGTTGGCATTCAATCTGAGCCTGCTCTGAATATGTGAGAGGTAGTTTTACATTACATGTTTTGTATAATTTTCATTCCTAAATGAGGTACCGTAATATCGCCACAATTTATTGGATATTTTTATGAAAGAATTTAAAAGAAACATGATCGTGAACAGAAAATTCGATGGAAATCGTGGCAAGATAAGTGTTAGTAAAATTTAACGACGAAATTTTCATCCACTTCTAGTTCAAATTTCTTTTATTAATTCGTCAGGTTTTTATTATCCGTTGCTACAGAGGGAACAGTTAGGCCGCAGAGCTCTGAACACTCGGAAATAGATTTAAAGCTTACAAAATGCAAATTTTTTCAAAAAACGAGGATCCGCCGCAAGATTCCGATTGCATATTAAATAATAGGACCTGATTTTTGTACGCAAACATCATTTTTGAGGAATAAAAGCTAAATCAAACTAATGCAATAGTTGATCAACATTCATCGCAACCATTGATAGCTTGTAACGGAATTGCACTGAAGCGTCGTATCAGCCAAATTTTCAAGCTTAAGTTGTACAATGAAGAGAAAAGTTTTCTTATTAGATTTCTCGATACTCAATAGCCATCAAATTTTCTTCTTCAGCTCGTTCGCGCTGTTTCAAATCGCCAGGAATTACCTCATAGGCCAGCAATAATCACCTCTTTTTAGGCTCAATGGAATTTGTACATATATAGCGTAAGTGTGCGTAAAATGCAATTAGTATTTTGGACAATAATGTTGTAAAGATCTTTTGTGAATGTTGTGCGAAGGAGAGCAAAGAACATTAAAAAAATAATTTGATTATTGGTTTAATATCAACGTAGCATAAATTGTTAGGACTGTGGAAATTTAAATCGATAATATAATATGAAACTGAAAGAGATGAATAGTTTTGGTGACAACACACACAAAAAATATTGACAAAACCTCGGAGTGATGACCAAAAAATTTTAGTATCACGCGCTATCATGAGAGGGCGATCAGGTCATAGTGAAATGAATACAACTTATTCAATTCAAACGCTTATTTGATTGTGCCCAATGAAAAGTCTTTATCTCTTCGTATAGCTTGTATTCAATATTAATCTCTCGTTTAAATTATACATTTCAACTTGTTGTTAAGATAGTAAACTTAAAAAATGAGACTGACAGCATAGCTTGTTACAAATTCTTGCTAACCTGTGCATTAGTTTGTGTGATGAATTTGTGAAATATGTTCAAAATAACAGGTAAAGACAAACGTTGAACTATTTCGATCATTCCACAATATTTTATGACAATTTTTAGTTTTTAAGAAATGTATTGTCAATGCTCATATTACAGACTAATCATTACATTAATTAACGCAATTAGACAAAACTGAGAGAAAACTTTTCGACACAACACGTAACACAAAGATAATACACGGATACAAAAACGAAAGTGGACCTCGGTCAGTTGACTAATCCGTCCGGAGCTTCCATTTTTTCCCCTGGGAATTCATCAGTGATGTAATAGTTAAAGAGAATCCAATAAATTGAGAATAATATGAAGAAAAGTGTCGGGAAAATCCGCCTGGAATACAAGTCAATTACAGAGAAGCGGTCAAGCAAATCTTCTTCACACGGTAGCTCACAAGCAGGCGTCATGTTTTTCATGAGCATCTTTTTCCTGACCAAGAGCTGCCACACGGTGATGGTTTGCTTGACGGGTGGCGGCGGAGGAGGTGGATCAGATTCTATTTTGATGACCGTACCAACAGGAGTGCTTGGCACCGGGGTTTGTGGCTTTGTTGCCTCGGCACTTGGAGTTCCCGGAGGAGGAGACTTAACTGGATCTTCAGGAAGAGGAGGAGTGGTTGTGATGGTCGGTGATACAAGACCAGCGCTTGATGGTAGAGATGACAACGATGATAGTCGAGGAGATAAGGATGGAGTTGCCTGGTCAGTGATGCTAGAGCCGGGGGCTTGTGAAGGAGATTCACGTATAGTGGATGAAGTTTCGGTTGATCCGGGTAGGCCTTCAGCAGAAGATTCCAGGATAGGTGGGCTTGGCAGAGGCCGACCAAACATGGGCATGCCTTGCAGAGAAGGATGATGTGAAGGTTGTGGAGAAGGTAGAGTAGAGCTCACCTGCGAAGCAGTTTCATCAATATCGTGAGCGGATAATCGTCTCTGCAGTACATGAAGTCTTTGCAATAATTTCGGGGTGTGTTTGGGCGCCAACGAAGATTCTGATCCAGACTTACTTGCTGAGAGGTGTTCTTGTGACTGATGATCAAAAGGTGGCACCTCTACAGTATGAGCTCTAACTTTCTGAGCCGCTTCATCGGCAACCTTGGGTACCATGGAGAGGGGTAGCTTCAGAGCTTGCAGGAGTTTTGCTTTCGGGTCAGGTTTTGGTTTTTCGGTGTTGGCTGCAGATGAAGCTGCAGGAAAAGCTGTCAAATGAACCTTGAAGCTCTCCAGCAGTGACGTGTGCACCGACGGGATCACTTTGATGCAACCTGCGCCCTCCTGCACACGAACAAAACTGAATTAATATTTCAGAATACACAAGGAAATGAGGGCAGGTTGTCAAATGAACTAACTTTACCTAGTTACTGACAAAATACATAAAGATTAGGTATTAAAACCTTCATTGAGATTGAAATGTTTGAATAAATATTTCATATGGCTATAAATACGATTCAATGTCTACATGGTCGAAATGGACAAGTCAATGCATACAAAAAATACGTTTCTGAAGAAATATTCATGTAATATATAAAAGTAGATGTCGGGTTTCAGTGGACGAACGGACATTTATTGCGTGTTATCAGACCTGAAAACAAAGCTTTTCAAATTTAAAATATAGCTCAATTCAATCTAGAATTATATTAACAGCCACTTATCTGATACCATATATTTGGTTATCGGCTTGGATTGGAACAAGATAGATCAGGTAATGAACACATTTTCTTCAGACAGACAGAAACTTCTTCTCGTATATGTCCTGTAGGAAGAAAACAAGAGGAATGCACATGCATGTGAGCAACAAGTGGTCTTTCCGAGTGGAAACACACCGTCGTAAGTTGTTCTACAATCTTCTTCTTGAGATTTTCCATCTTCTTCCTTCTTTTATTCGCGTGTCTCTCCAAGTAGTTGATGCACGTCCACTCTAGGATAGCAGCGAAGAGGAAAGCCAAGCATAGGATGACGAAGTAATCAAGTGCTGTAGGGTAGGCCACTTCGGGGTAAGACGATCTATCGCCAAACCCGAGAGTAACCATTGCAAGCATTGTGGTGACACCTGGCGATGCAAAGGGAGAAAAGGCACAATATCAGGGGACCCAACATCCTAGTAATGGAAGACACATGCTTAAGACCCACCCGCGCAAGTTTAGCCACATATTCTTCCTCTTCTCTGAGCTTGGCTTGGCGCTTTTTGAGTAGGTTCAGCGAAGCCACAGCGTACCGCTGTGAGTAGTTGACGCCAGCGTACTCGATCATCGTGGCGAACGTGAACCAGAAACACAGAAGCACGAAGTAATCCAAGGCAGTGGGATAGGGCACCAGTGGAAATAAGTCGCGCCCACCAAAGCCAAGCTTGGTCATACAGAGGACATTGTTGACACCTGTACAGGGAGGAGAGCAAGGGCGCTGACTCACTTAATGCGGCTCACCAATTGCCAAAACCCCCAGAATCTAGACGTCAGCATTAGGCCTTCGGTTCAAAGTAAACGTTCGTATGCCAGAGACCATACTTGATCACGTGTGAAAACATCTCCAGGTCAGTGTTAAATAATAGCGAATAAGAATGTCAGAGTTTCATCTCACACGATATAAAAAAAAAGAAGTTCCGCAAATAAAAATTTAAAAGCTGAATTTGCACATTTACATGTAACGCTGCTTAAAATACCCGTTAAAGGATTTCTTGCGCTTAAAAATACTTTCATGAGTGTAGGTTTAGATTACCAAGCGACGCACCTGAATAGAATCTTTGCATGGAAAATGTTATCGAATTTAGGAACGGCCACAATATGTATTTTTTTTCTCCACTAATTTCATAGACATATTATGAATTTGAAGGTGATGAAAGAATGTTTTTGTACGATCATCCGTGCCCGCAGAATACAAGCGGAGACTTATTGCAACGACTTTGCTCTTATTCGCATTGTGCTTGTGGACTGAATGAAGTTGATTTTATGAGATTATTTTTACCTTAACTTAGCTTGGAGCTGAAATATATTGTTGTTGACACAGTATAAGCTAGTTAGCGAAGAGATATCCTCAGAAAATTAATCACAAAGTTAAAAAATAAAATAAATGATGTATATAGCATCTTGTGTCAAATGAAAAAATTATAGAGATAGTTTATTCTTAGGTGGGAAACGTAATTCTTAACGGTCATACACTTGCAGTAATGAGCGAACCTTTTCCCAAATATCGATGCACTTATAGCCTGTGTTCTGGTCACTCTGGCCCAGCTCGGTCCGACAAAAGGTGCATTAATGCAACGGGCAGAGAGTGTGCCCCAAAATTGACATCTTATCCTATTAATTTTTCAGAGTGTACATGCGCGCAGTTCACCGGCTTACCTGAGTTGCACTGCCACCGCACGTGTTCCTCTCGACTTACTGAATACATTGGCTCGGAACGATGTCCAATGGTGCAGGGTAACTTCGTTCGATAGTCGGGAAATCATGAGGCGACGCAGCTAATAATAAAATTCCTTCAAAAATCATAAATGATCGTTCTAAAGGCATAGGTTCTATGCGTCTTTGATTCTTGCATAAGAAACATTTTTAGCATCCTTCAGGTGACATCTGTGCAATGTAAAGAAAATAAGTATTTATGATAATCTAATCATATACATCTATCTGAAATATTTAAGTAGTTAGCTTGACAATAATTTATAATCACCACCCGCAGAGAAAAGAATAAAATATTATGCTTGGCAACGCGATTAAGTTTAACTTCTTTTAAATAATCATTTTGTTTTAATTTAGGGTTTTCACATTAGAAATTCAGCAATGTAGAAGTAAAGAATGATAAAGTTTTTACCAAATAAAATAATAATTAAAAGATGCTTCCGAACGTGGATATATTAAAGCCATACGAAAGGGATAATTTTAAACTGTACAATGTATTTTCAAACTAGCTTCTTGGAAAAACTGACAAATATTTTTCTTCAATTCATACGTAAAAACAATGTAATGGTCAAAATAAATAGCAGTTAATTGTTCCGATGACAAATCAACGGTAAATTGGGAATCTGAGTAAAATAAATTGCCAATCTCTGTAAAATAAAAGTTTGATTTAATCTCTGCTTAATTTACATTGCAGTTTAAAACTATTTGTTCTTTCCGCAATACCCAACGTATCGCGTTATCACAAGCATGATCTGGTAACAAATGAAATCTGTAATTTTAAATTTTGATGGTCATAGTAACTGAAAGAAGCATGCTGGAAAATCTTATAACTTCAATATCAATATTGAAACTGATTCTTTTAGTTACGTACATTGTAAATAGATTGCAATTTTGGGGTAATTGAAAGTTTATTTTCATCGAGCGAAGTTGGTCTCGTCCTCTAGTGTTTTATGTTCATGAACTGGAGTATGACTAATTAATGAGCTACGAATATGCTATAATGAATGAAAATCCAAATTTCCTCATATAAAATAATAACCATCACTCGAGGGAATTAAATTTTCCATTTTCATAAGTTGACAAGAGCAGGATGTTGCATGCTTCTAGACGGATTCTAATGAGCAAATTTGATTTGTGCAACAGCTAATAACAAATGAATTTGTATACAGGAGCAATAATTCAATATTCAATTTCAACAATATGTTGAAAAATATATCTGAAACGCTTTCATCAGAAAAAGTGCATTTTGAAAACCAAATCCCTTCAATATAATTAAAACTTCTTAATCAATCGAAAGTACTTGTAATTAAATAAGTGAAGAATAGTCTTACCCAAGCAAACGCGACCTGGAGCATCTTTTTTGGTGATCCAGAATCCGACCCAAGAGCTGCAGACGATCAGGATGCAAGGCACGTACACTTGCAGCATGAAGAAGCCAGTCAAGCGCATCAGGTGAAACTTCACCGTCAGAGTAGAGATCTCCTCTGTAGAATTCAAGCCAATAATTAGGGTGGACTGCTCAGTCAGAGTAGAGATCTCCTCTGTGAAATTCAAGCAAATAATTAGGGTGGACTGCTCAGAGTGGAGATCTCCTGTGTGAAATTCAAGCAAATCATTAGAGTGGACTGACCAGGGTAGAGATCTCCTCTGTGAAATTCAAGCCAATAATTAGGGTGGACAGCTCAGTCAGAGTAGAGATCTCCTCTGTGAAATTCAAGCAAATCATTAGGGTGGACTGCTCAGTCAGAGTAGAGATCTCTGTGAAATTCAAGTAAATCATTAGGGTGAACTGCTCAGTCAGAGTAGAGATCTCCTCTGTAAAATTAAAGCCAATCATTAGGGTGGACTGCTCAGTCAGAGTGGATATCTCTTCTGTGAAAGTAATATATAATAATGGGGTTACCAAGGAAACTGATTTTAGTTCGAGATCTACGAAGTGAAAGGTGAATAGACTATTATAGCGAACTACCAGGGCTGCTTATCCAAATGATGAATTTTTTTCCGTGAAGGTCAAGCAGATCATTATAGTGAATTGCGGGAACAGCTCGGGAAGAGTCGAATTCCCCGTCAAGTTAACATTTCAGTGGGCTGGCGGTAAAAGCAGGAAAATGAAAAATAATACAGGTAATAATACAAGTTGAGTCAGGTACATAATCTGAAATTCAGCAATTCCTTTCGAGAAAATAGGAATTCCTAATTTTGAAATATTCGTGTCGCAGCAGTAATCAAAATTATAATATGTTCAATTTTGTTAGACGTTTCCACGAGGAAAATTTTTGAGAGACAAATGAAGTACCAAAACGAATTGACCATTCAAATTACAGCAACAGCCAACAGCCTGATCGTGGCCAACGTTTATAGACTATGGATGAAAGAAGTGCTACAATTCACAATAATCATCATAACAAATAACACAGAGAGTTAAAAACTTCAAAGGGTGGTTTTGGGCATATGATTCTCGTTTATAAAGTAAAATTTACTCATTTGAAATAATTGAAAAAAGAGGTACATTCTATTTATCTGCGGAATTCTGGGATAAATTACGTGCAGACAATTAAAAGTTTGTGGTTAAGTCCGTGGAGTTTTCAAGTGCGAAATTTTTTTCAAGCAACACTTTAATAGCCGCTATTGAACGCAATAATCCTTTCTAAGAAAATCATGAAATTTGACTTACTTTATGCACTAGCATAATCCTTATAGGTTATTTCTGAGTCAATTTAGTGAAGAAAACATCGATCTGGTTGTCTGCGAGGTAAGATGGACTGATAAGGTCATGCTTTTTTTTTCAAATCTCAATAGATGTATAAGACATGGCATTATTTCTTGCTTAAGCACCATTTATCAATCAATTATCACTGATATTACAATCTCACACCTGCAAGTTGGAGATGAAACACGATCGAAATTTTATCTCATCAGATAGTCTCTATCGGGATTTGCACTAACACACCACACACACACACACACACACCAGACATTCAAAAGGAAGGTAGAACTTATACATCATGAAGTATTTACAAAGATACACCAACAAAACATTAATCGAATTACAACAAATGAGCTTCAATCTGTTTATCAAATGGTCTAAGCGATGAACACTCACATTTGACTTCCAAAAGGAAGTCAGAATTCAAACATTATGAAGTATTTACAAAGGAACACAGCATAACATTAATCGAATTACAACAAATGAGCTTCAATCTGTTAATCAAATGGTCTAAGCGGCCGTGCTTTCGTACGACAGCGATACGAGCGCAGGAAAGATACGTTATCGTATCTTTATGTACGAGTGCAGGAAAGATACGTTATCGTATTTTTATGTACGAGTGCAGGAAAGATACGTTATCGTATCTTTATGTACGAGTGCAGGAAAGATACGTTATCGTGTCTTTATCTACTAGCGCAGGAAAGATACGTTATCGTATCTTCAACTACGAGCACAGGAAAGAAACGTTATTGTATCTTTATTTACGAGCGCAGGAAAGATACGTTGTCGTATCTTTATCTACGAGCGCACGAAAGATACGTTATCGCATCTTTATCTACGAGTTCAGGAAAGATACGTTATAGTATTTTTATCTACGAGCACAGGACAGATACGTTATCGTATCTTTAGCTACGAGCGCAGGAAAGAACTTTGGCTGAGTGAGCGCGTCAGAGCGCCGCTTTAGTGCGACGCAAGTCTTGTACAGTAAGGCCGATCTTAAAGGCTCGTCTGGTCCCCTAATGCCTCAATAAATACTCCTGCAGTCGCATATTATGCTCCGGAGCTCTTCGTTTCGGCTAAACTTTGACACAGACCCTGAGGTCAGCTGGGCAGCAGGGTCGTAAAGTCTCTAGAAGTTATCCTTGAAAATTCTGAGAGATTTATGGTATTTTAAAACATTCATTGCCCAAATTTCCTTTGACTACAGTTAAAAATGTGATGCTGGATCAATAAAGGATGAGGATAATAATGGTAACACAAACGGTTAAGCTGCTGATAATAATAATTTGTTATTCATAGAAAGCGTGGGAAATTAGAAGGCTTTTATTATATTTGATGATAAATTGTTGTGATGTTAGCATTCGCAGCTAAAGGCCATTGCTAATTTGAACGTAGAGACTTGCTCTTCACGTATCACATATTTTATTCCAGAGTCTTCTCTCGAAGCTTCAATTAAAACGAAATTAATTAGAGAAGCGCAGCGAGGGAGCACGCAGCAACACTTCGCGGTCTTCCCTCTTCAGTTTTATTAACAAGTGAACCTTAATTAAGAGTATATTGAACTTCCAGGTATTTTTGTTCCACACGCTTCATTTTCGTCATAAAGAAACTAACTTGGTTGGGTTCTTATTTGGAACATTTAGTATGTTTGTTCAAAGTAAGATATAAACCGAGTTGTTTTTAGGATTAAAATGAAGATAATGCAGAAGGAAAAATTTAAAGGGACAAGCGAAAAATAATTTACGGGACCCTGCCTTCCGCAATAGCCTTCATTGAATATAAACTGAAAAATAAGAGACATTTTCATATATGCTGAGGCGTGAAGCACGCTTCGAATTGACGGCATTAAGTCGTGTTATGAGTTACCGTACAGCAATGGTTTAAGCAAAATGCTTGACGTTATTGCAAAAGTATTTTATTTCCTAACTTTCACTCATTTATGAAGAACACAACTGAGTGTAAGAATTGCGTTGTTAAGAATTGCTGTCACATCTGCTTCAACTCGAGAGCTTCGAAATAGCCTCAACATTCGAGCATCTGGTCAAAAATGATAAGCAAGGCAACACAGTCAGCGTCATTTTTCGAAATTTTGGTTTTCATAATCATTGCAGGTACAGCATTTTTTCAACACAAAGGTTCTAAAAAAGTCCAAAAACTTCTCAGTATTTACAACGTGTATTTGTACATTTGCTCCAATAGAGACAGTTACTCTAAGGTCTGCTGAAAATTGAGGAGCTACAGGCGTATTTTTCGCTTGAAAACCGAGACGCAAATTTTGCAAGAAAACTCCGGCACTTCGTCTCGTGATGGCAGAGTGCAGCTCTGAAGAACTAAGCAATGCAGCATGTCACGCTGAACGGCGTGTGAATCACTCAAAGTTTCCCTCAGTGTCGGGTATTTTTTCGGCATGAATATCAAATGCTTTCTCGCGATGCACTTTCATGCCGCACAATTTCCCCGACGGGCTCGTGCAATGTAGAGAAGGTCCTTACGTCCTAAAAAGCGCTCATTGCCTCGCAAGAAGAAATAACAGCGCATTTTTGTTATAAATTTTATATTTTTTTGCTCAGAAACTCGGTTTCCAGAAAATAAATATAAAAAAGATTGCATATCTTTTTCTTTGACTACCTTGTGACTAAATAATATCTATTGCCCACTATCAATTCAAATGTTTTTGAAAATTTAAATGGCGGAAACCATTTTCATCAATTTCATTTTTAAGTACTTAATCCACAATAGGGGATGAAATACGATTAGGCTTCTACATGCACAATGTAAAAACAATAACGTACACCATGTCATAGCATTTCACAGTCTAGTAGAATTATCGACGACTTCTTTTCAGCTTTTTAATAACTTAATAACTTGAAAATCAGGGACGTATAATTACACTAACACTAAATAAAGATACTTTTAGGCCCTCTTAAAAGTCTACATATTTATGCTTCTGCCTAGGTACTGGCTTTAAACATATTTTCCAAACTCTTGAAAAATTCTGGTTTATTAATTTTATAATATTTTTTCTAAACATTTCCCATCCCTAACTTTTGTACATATTCCTTGCATTAATAATCCGAATTTCATAAATTTAATTTTTATTCTATTTACAATAGAATTATTCATCATCATACACAGCGTTAGTTCTACAATTTGGATATTTACGCGAGTTCCCTGTGAAAATTTTCGATTCTGTCGAGTTATTATTAAAAAACCTGCGTAAAACCAAATGTGAAATTCATGATTTAGTTGGACATAATTACAGCTCAATAATCATTTTAGAAACGAATAAAAATCGTAAAAATCAGGCACCCAATCGTAAATAACTTGTGTCACAATGCCGTAAAGATCACATTAAAATCAGGGAATTTACGCATGTTGCTGAATGAAATTTTGAAGTATCTCAGAGGTTGTCAATCCCGAACTACGCCAGCTTAACCTGAGATTTCAACAAATACTAGGGAAATATGCAGATTAAAAGGGAATGCTAGTATATACGCGATAGAGTTAAATTTATTGGCTGAAATGGAATCTCATGCCTATGTTCATACCGTGGCAACTCGAAGCAAGAGGTTCGCATGATGTTCAGAACTTTTTTATAGAAACAAGTTAATATATATGTATATAGTTATATATAGTTAACAAGTTATTACAAATTATAGTTAATAATAATTTCATATTTATGAGCAACATTTCATTAATATGTGTTTAAACGATTCGCATGTTACTTCCATGCTGGTTGTGAGCTTTATCACAATAAATAATATAATCATGCATGTAGAGGATTCGCCACACAGCATTAAGTAATTAGGATTTGATAAGACTTGCTTACGACAACGAGACTTACATTAATATGGATATTGACATGGTAAATTTTATTAACATAGATCTTTTATTCACGATTTAGTCATCAACGAATGTCCCGCGTTTGCTTTCCGACATCAATTTATTAAAAAAAAAAATTTTACGAAACATGTTCACTTCAACTCACATTCGTACTAATCCCGAGCAACGGGATTAATAAAAATAATTTCTTTACGGAAGGAAACAGCACGAATATTTTCATTTTTTCGAATAAAAAATATTCTAATATTTTTTTCCTTATCTTCAAAAATTGTATTTAAAAATTCGAAACATATTTATGAAATTTTGGCTTAAATCATTTTTAGAAGAAACGCTCAGAAAAAAGTTAACTTACCCGAATATCGCCGTCCTGCGTGCATGCAATTCGTAAAGTATTTGCAGTCAATCAATTTGTTCAAAAACCAACGCAATACGAAAAAATACCTTTTGATTAGATTAAAGCATGTTTTGCAGGTAGTGAACAATTAGATGATTTTGAGTAGTAAATGTTTTGAATATTGAGTTTGCAATATTTAATTACCTCACTCCCACCTTTGTACATTTCTTGATTTTAAACTGGATGAATAACGAATATAAATTAATTGAAAGAGAATAAATAAATAAATTAACGCACACACAGACACTTCGTTACTGACCAATTCTGCGCACGGGAACAACGGCTTCGTAAGTCGAGATGTGGAAGAGTTCGTACTGAGCGATGCTGACATCAGAGTCCACCGTCACGTATTTCTGCGTATCCCACATGTACGTGACGTTCTTTGCGTCGTAGCCATCTGCAGTGGTAGTGCAAGGTACGTTACATTCACAGTATGCATACAGTATACACTATACAGTAAGGAACATTTCCATATACACACAGTATACTGTAAGGTAGATTTCCAGTACACATACAGAACAGCAAGGAACATTTCCAGTATGCATACAGCAAGGTACATTTACAGTTTAAATAGGATTGATTCCCACGGAGGCCGGGTTTCTTTCGATAGACACATTAGAATATCCCGACATACTGACCGTAGCAAAATTAAATCAAGCGCTTCAAACGACGAATGGCAAGTATCGTTTAAAGTAAAATGGAGTCATTGCTATGCATATGTAAGAGTGTAAATCATTGATTCAGAGAGGAAGGAGAAGCAAGTTCATTCAATAATTATTGCTAATGAATGTGATAAAAGTTGTTCTAATTAACTTAAAACGATTTTACAAAATTAAAAATTTCAATCATTTAAAAGAAACAACTCACATGAAGAGATGCGCAGCGGACAGGTCTGAGTGTCCAGAGGGAACTTGCGCAGATGCATCACGCAGCTCGCCCTCACCGTCAGTCTGACGTATAACAATAATACTGGACAATTTGAAAAAAATATAACTCAGTACTCACAGCAGTGAGTGACAGAGAGCGCATTTTCTCGTCGACGAAACGTGAAATCATGGACGGACAGACGGACGGATGGACGGACGGACGGACAGACGGACATGGCGAGCACAATAGTGCATTTTTTCCATAAATGAGAAAATGCGCTAAAAATACATACTATCCAGAAATACGCTAGATATGAACCTTCGTGAGTAAGAACGTTGGGAGATGCAGAGTAGTTGTCAGCGTCCATATCGTACGTGAACTATTCTTTGAAGGTCGCACTGTAGTAATGTCGCACTTTGAAGTAATGCCAGAAATAGTCTACCAAGAACACTAGTTGCTTTAGAGTGCTTATATTATGAGCAGGTTTACATTACAACTGTTAACGAAGTAGCTGGTGAGTGCAGGAAATGAGCAGTTAGCCTAGCCACATGTTAGGGAGTTGATTTCATACAAAACGCTGGACTATAGGACTTCATAAATGCACAGATCTGTCCGTCATACTCGTATTACAGGCATCTTGGCATGCCCATATCATTGCAATGACTCTTTATAGACTCTTAATTCACCTCATGGACATGTAATGCACCTCAGATGCATGTAATGCACCTCATAGACATGTAATACACCTCATATACATGCAATGCACCTCATAGACATATAATGCACATCATGGACATGTAATGCCCCTCATGGACACTGTAATGCACCTCATAGACACGTAATGCCCCTCATAGACACGTAATGCACCTCATAGACACGTAATGCCCCTCATAGACATGTAATGCACCTCATAGACATGTAATGCCCCTCATAGACATGTAATGCACCTCATAAACATGTTATGCACTTCATTGACGTTTAATGCACCTCATAGACATGTAATGCACCTCATGGACATGTAATGCACCTCACAGACACGTAATGCACCTCATAGACACATAATGTCCCTCATGGACACTGTAATGCACCTCATGGACATGTAATGCACGTCATAGGCATGCAATGCACCTCATAGACATACGCCCCTCATGGACACTGTAATGCACCTCATAGACATGTAATGCACCTCATAGACATGTCATGCACCTCATAGACATGTAATGCCCCTCATGGACACTGTAATGCACCTCATAGACATGTTATGCACCTCATGGACATGTAGACCTGTCCATCATACTGCAGACGGACGAACAAGTTGGGCGCGGTGATGGCATGAGCATAGGACTTCTTGCCGTTGATAAAGAAGGTGTCGGGTTTCCAGATCCTCTTAGCAAACATCCAATTCATGGAGAACTCCGAGCGCCCGAGGTCTGTTTTGTTGAACTTGAGTCGCGTGTCGTACCAAACCTGACGCATGTACAGCTGCATCGAGTACTCCTGTGGCAGCAAAGGTTGAGCTTTCTTAAACAATTGTAATGTGGAAATAATACAATTATTTGATCCTTTGTGTGCAGTCGGATGAGGTGTAATTCTTTAATGCATCATGAACTTTTTTTTATTCTTGCAAGGAAATCCGAAAGTATTACTGGCACCAAATAAAAGAAATTAATCCAATCATATATAAAAAGAAATGTGAGAAAATTGTGATGTTTTGATAGTGGAAAGAAGATAAGAGATTATTTATTTAGACGGAATGGACTAAATAAAACATTTCTAATCGATAGAAGAACAGGAATTGTTCATAATATAAAATAACAATATTTTAGTAAGAAGTTCTGGGATCAAGAGGCGCCTGAAAGTACTAAATTGAATTTCTTGTTTAACAAATCATTTGTAATAATAAATAAATAAATAGATTTTCTCGGACATTCAAGAAAAAATTAGCTAACAAACGCTGTACAAATATGGCCGAATTACCAATTGCAACATAATAAATTCAGAAATTTCACAGGCATAATAAGAGTTGTATTTATTCATTGCCGAGAATAATGATGAAAATCTCATGTGATCATAAAAATGGCATCAAGCTGACTCGATACAAAATAGTCAAAAACATCCTTGTTCACAAATTTAAATAAAAACCTTGAAAATTTTATAACACAACTTTATGTTTATCTCAATAAAATAAAAATAATAAATCATATAACGCACCCTTATAAAAACCCGTTCTGACTACATAAAATGCCATCGAGTCCTAGAAATATAGAAATTATTCTTCTGAGCCACAGCTGCTTTTTCCTTCTCTCTTTGATGTCGAAAACTCATAAGCAGAGACCGCATGGCTCTTACATGGCGTAAAACCTCACAATAAGACAACGTAACTCTGCGTTTGTAAACACTCGGCATGAGACTAACCTCGAGCTTCTCGGAGAAAGGGCCCATCGAGCGCACGTTCATGTTGACCATTATCTTGGTAGGCGTGCCTGTGAGAACACGAGATTATCTTCAGGTCACGAGATTAACTTCAGGTCACGAGATTAACTTGGGGCCACGAGATTATCTTTAGGTCACGAGATTAACTTCAGTCACGAGATTATCCACGAGATTAACTTCAGGTCACGAGATTAACTTCAGGTCACGAGATTAACATCAGGTCACGAGATTAACTTCAGGCCACGAGATTAACTTCAGGCCACGAGATTATCTTTAGGTCATGAGATTAACTCCAGGTCACGAGATTAACATCTGGTCACGAGATTAACTTCAGGTCATGAGATTAACTTCAGGCCTCGGGAATGTAATTTCATGACGCAAGATTAACTCAGGTCTCGAGATTAACTTCAGGTCGTGACATTAAATTCAGGTTGTGACGTTAACTTTAGTTCACAAGATAAGCTTCATTTGAACAGCAACTGATATTCAGTTCTATACCTATATATCAGCACCGAAAAATTTATGAAATTTAGTCAAACAGCTATTCGAGTTTCACAATAAAAAATGTTAATGAAAGTAATTGCAAATGAATACAGCTAGAAGTGAGCGAGATGTAGGAAATATTATAAAAAAAATTGGACAGTTTTGTTTGTAACAATTTTTTTCGACGCAAGCAGCATATGTCAAAATTTGTTATAAAAAATCCTATATAGGCTTTGATTTTCCAGAAATTCAAAGCAACTTTGTGAGTTATTAGGTAAAATTATTAACTAGTCCTGAACAACCAAGTTGGAGGCGTCAATCCTGCATGATGACTTAGTTCGATATGTAACCAAACTATATATGTTGGATATCTACAATTACTTACCGCAATGTGATTTATGCGGAGGAAGTTCGACTCAAATATTATTAATTAAATTATCGTGGTAATTATAAAATTATGCGTATTAGTATTTGTGTTATAAAATGCCGTTTAGCGGTTATAATTGTAAGGTATCATCGTTACTGAAACAAACATATGGTAATCTTATGATGAGTTAAGCGTAATTTTTTCGTATGACACCACTCAAGATTTCTTTACTAGTAAGATCGGAATAAATCTGTCCATGACGTATTTTTTAATTATTATACAGTACACGAAGTGATGGTATTATTACAATGTTCATTACATTGCTGTCAGGTGTGCCACAATTAAATTAGAGACTGACGAGTAATACGAAAAAAAGCGTTTATCACAAATACAAGGCTTTGATTTTTTATTGTGATTTATACTATGAGGAACGAATATTTCGAAGAATATCGACATTAATTTTATTTATTGACAATAAAAGAGTTCCTCCAAATAAAAAATTCCTTAGAATAATTATTTTCGAAAAATATCCGCTGTCCTCCAGCGCTAAATATAATTTTGATTAAAACTGGGTTAAAACCACAAAAAATTTCCCACGAATAAAGCTGAGCGTAAAACTTCAGTCAATTATTTAGTTAATTTGAGTTGCGAAGAGTCGTGAGGAACACAAGGCCTCCAAATTTTGTTACGTAGAACTTCCCATAAAAACGAATAAAAGTAATACTTCAAGTACATTAGTAACGTGAATAACTGGGAGTAAAATCTTGGTATCTCAGATACTTGGGTACAATTATAAATTAATGATAGAAATCACTATTTGCTGGTTACAGGGGTATAACAAATGACACTATCAATGAAATGATTTATGATTTGTTAAAAACCACAAACAAACCAAAAATAATGCGAACACTATCGTTTTATGATCAGATACGGCAGTTGTATTTAAATGTAGCGCATTCATGTTAATATGTATGTTAAATTAATGAAACTCTGAATACGTCAAGCTCATGATTTTGGTCTTAGATTTGTTAGCCACACATGGTTGCGCATATCCAGAAGTTGTGAAAGTTTATATGATTGTTATTTATTTGCAGTGCACCTTCGCCAAAACGTAATTTTAAAAGAAAGGCGAAGCATTTTATTAGCTCATGCATTTCAGAAGCCTTTAGGATCAGTTCTTTTTACCCACCGAAATGAAGATCATCATCGGTTCCACCAACATCACCACCACCATTCTTCGCCAGTGACAAATAGGGTTATGGTTTCGTCGCTTGGTTAAAGCTTCAGCGATAATAAAGGATGACTTGGAAAATAAACATTCGCATCTGACAATATAATAATGAAATGAGTCAAAATGAATGAGAGGCTGTTGAAAGCCTTAACTTTTCCAGTGCATCAACATTGTTGAGCCGCTTCCAGGGAGAAAATAACACAATATTAAAACGATAGGTTTATGCATCGCTTTCGTAAACTCTTACTCACTGAAATGCACTATTTTATTTATTATTAACGGAAGATTTTAAGTTGAGGTAAAGTGAATCGTATCGCCATAGCTTGCACTAGGAAGGAATTGGCGGTGATGATATTGGAGAACGTGACGGTCAACTCTGGAGCGTCGTGCCATCTCACCTTCTGTAAACAAGTATAACCTGGCATTATTACAAAAAACGAAAACCTTTAATAGCTGAACAGAAGAATATTTTAAATTCTACAAGTCAATTTCATTCTTATTTGTAGTGTCAACAGGCAGTGAACGGGAATCGTTTGAAAGTTAAGATTTATTTATATCAGATATTAATTATGAAAATTCATTTTTAACTTCGCCATGAGGCTGGATGGGTCAAATGTCAAATGCTTGTGAATTGAATGATAATTAATGAATCAGATAACGCCTTTCATTCTGCTCAATTCATAATTTATAAACTTAAAAACAAGAAAAATCTAACAGTCCCTGAAATCAAACAAAATACACCTTCTGAGAGATACAGGAAATGAAATGTGTCATTTTTTCATTACAAACTGTGCAAATATTATATTTCTTAACTAATTAACTAAAAAAACGATTAATATTTACGATCCTTAAAGTGATATATAACAAGAGAATACGACTAATTATTTGCCTCGTAGCTGCACATCATCAAACTTGGAAGAAATCAATTGTTCAATTGGGCAAATAATTACAAAGAATCACAAACAATTCTGCATGATATCGGTACCAATACCAGTTTCATGCACTTAAAGTTTGCCAAAATATGAACGAATTGGCGGTGATTTTTACTTGTAGTACAATGGGCACAAAGTTTTCCACCTCATCGATATACAAGTCATCAGGCATAGAACTCGTCATCAGGCATCGGACTACTAACAAGCATAACCAACGAAGAGAAATGTAGAAATCACAAATTCCTTAATTCAGAAATCGTTCACCACACAAAAAAGGTGGACGGTCTATCAATTGGCCAGTTCGCTGAAGCTGTTGAGAATAATGCAGACACAGGAATGAATAGATGAGAGAAACAGCGAAGTAATAAGTGAAGTGCAATAGAGACGAAATAACTTGGTAAATATGTCGGTCGCATGGACAAAATGCACTTGGAAGGGATGTATAATTTTAAGGAATCCTGCCAACCGATAAAGAGTAACCGTAAAGGCAACAAAAACTTGTACTTGATATCATCAGTACGGTTTCATCAGCGAACTGATAACATCAGCACGACGGCATCAGCGAACTGATATAATAAGCTCGCGGCATCAGCAAACTGATAACATATTCACGGCGGTATCAGTGAACTGATATCATCGGCGCGACGACATCCGCCGTGCTGATAACATCAGCACGGCGGTATCAGTGAACTGATAACATCAGCACGACGGTATCAGTGAATAACATCATCACGGTGGTATCAGTGAAATGATAACATCAGCACGCCGGTATTGTATCAGTGAACTGATAACATCAGCACGGCGGTATCAGTGAACTGATAACATCAGCACGGCGGTATCAATGAACTGATAACATCAGCACGGCGGCATCAGCGAACTGATAACATCAGCACAGCGATATCAGTGAACTGATATCACCGGCGCGATGACATCAGCGAACTGATAACATCAGCACGGCGGTATCAGTGAACTGATAACATCAGCACGGCGGCATCAGCGAACTGATAACATCAGCACAGCGATATCAGTGAACTGATATCATCGGCGCGACGACATTCGCCGTGCTGATAACATCAGCACGGCGGTATCAGTGAATAACATCACGGCGGTATCAGTGAACTGATAACATCAGCACGGCGGCATCAGCGAACTGATAACATCGGCGAGACGACATCAGCGAACTGATAACATCAGCACGGCGGCATCAGTGAAGGCGGTACTAGAAAAGTGCTATCAGTTGCCTAAGGGACAGCTTGATCCCACATTTGAAAGCTCCATTCAGAGACCACGAGCTCCGTGGGGGCTAGCAGCAACAATGCCCCAGGGCAGCAATAACCTTAACCCATCAGACTAGCACAGACGGTCGTCAGGAGACGCCTCTGAAGGCAATAGTCGAGGCAAACACGGACCTTTAATCCATCCAAAGTCTGCGCTTATCGTTTGAATCGCAGAAAATTCAGCTGCTGACATTTTAATTCGCGCATGAAATTTTTCATGAGAATAAATATTCTGTTATACACAATGTTACACGTAGTTTTGTCCGCCTTACAAGATAATGTTTTTTGCAAATAATGTAGTTGGCTATGAATGAATCTACAAGATTGTCTCAAGTTTTTTGGAACATGACAGGACGGAGATCTGTTGGCATTCGTTAAACTCTGTCTGAATGAACTTTATCGAAAATCATCAAGTACTCTAGACGCGTTGAAAATTCAACAGGCCTATTGTTCGAGTGAAATAATTGAAATTAATTAGTAGGTAACGAATGAGAGGTGACAAATCTTTCAAATGTACCTAGTTGAGCGAGTGAAGGGTACATAAAAACCTGTAAGTCGAGAACCCATCGAGAACTCATAAGTAGAGACTAAAAAGCTCCTTGGATAATATAAAAATGCAACAAGATCTTGATGAAATAAAATTTGAAAAAAAGTAACGCATGCTCGAAAAAAACCATCCGCGACCCGAAATCCAAATCTGCACGACATAAAAAGTCAGCATAAAATGATTTAATATCTTTCATTTCCGTACGCATAATGAAATTCTATACATTCTATACAAACAAACTAGATATGATTCTATACAAACAAACTCATACATGAAACCTCGTCCTTCCATAGATTGTTGCCTGTGCTCGATATATGGCATGATCAGCAGCCGTACCAATCCGCGCTAATGAGCTCTAGGAGACGAGGGAGCCATTATCGTAAATGGCTTTGGTAAGGCAATGAGGTAATGGCATGCTGTCGAATACACATTTTCTTGACATTTATACTTGAAGGATTCAATAGACGCACATTAATCATCCACTCGAAGAAGGTAGTTGGTAGAGCATGGTTAACAGTTGACATTGAATTAATTTGCGTATTCATAAATTAAATTCTCTAACAGTACTCATTCCGGATTACAACTGTTGGGAATGAATAAATTACTAAAGCGAAGATATTATTGCAATCAATTATGCGTGTCGAAACTTTTTAATAGCGTATATACTATTCATGAAAAGTTTGAACGCTTTTCAATTGGTACAGAGACAAGACAATTATTAATATTATGACATCTTTTCGGAAATTTTATAGAAATAATACACCTTCTAAAATACGCATGGATTGACGATGCTTCATACTATGAAACAAAAATAATTTTCTTTCCGCAAGAACTTATATCATCAGAACGGAGTACCAGTGAATTCGTTACATCAGTACGGCGGAAAAAGAGAACTATAGTACGGTACCTACCATCAGCACGGCGGTAACATTGAACTGATATTATGTGATCAACGAAGGCAAGCCCCTGCATAGTACAGATAAAAAACGATCTCTATTTCTCTCAACAAGTTACAAATTATTAAACCATAGCTCTTAAAAATGTGCAAACTTGATATTATTCCAAGCGTGACTAATTGCTCCAATTATGAAACTTTTGAAACGAACTTGAATGAACGACCGTTTGAAACGAGAACTTTCTTTAATTATGAAACATTAAATTGACGTATTGTAATGCAACTTATATACTACCTATCTCATATCGAAGCACGGACACAAAACACACAGTCCACGAAATGCAGGGATCTTAAAATATTTAAAATACATACATACATACATACATTCATTATTATAAGATGGCAGAAATTTCTTGATTATATGCGTACAATTTATGACCAGAGCTTCCTATAACTTGAAAATGAATGATGTCACATTCAAAACGTCGTTAATAAATTAAATTACTTCCTTGAACCTGAATTTTTATCAACCAACGTCCACTGAAGAATATTGTTCGATCCTGAAAATTTAAATTTGTGATCTATAAATTTTGCTTCAAAGAAGGTTGTAGACTTCTTCATCTTTTGGACTACATTAGAGTAATTGGAGTAACTTCATCGACATTGAGTAGCTGTTTTTCCTGCCACCTGAGACAATTTTGCAACCAGACCAGGTCTCAAAGTCTTACCATCGAGCAACTTCATCTCATGATCCGTGATGAATTCAACAGGCTTCCTGACACCCTTGACTACAACTCTCACTGTGCTGGAGAAACACACCAGCATCTTCATCGTGCAGTGACTCGATGCTAAATATATTCGATGCTCAATATATTATTATTTGCTAAATCTGCCTTTTGATCTACCAACGTCATCTAAGAATTGTTCAACTCCTTGAAAATTCAAATGCACTCTCTGGTCATAAATTGTACGCACATACATTCATATATACATATAATACTTGAAATACAACCAAGACAGTTTCAGGAACGCCGTGAGCGCAGACTTTAATTAAGTGAATGTCATTAAATTTATAAGACAAGTACAATCGTGCCAAGTTGCAACAAACTACTCAAACCTCACTTTTTTTCTCACTCTCGCGTAGCTCGCCTTCATGTCGGATCTTCATACAAAAAGTCTTTCTGGCGCTCGAAAAATTACCGAGTTGACGAATCAAACAGTAATCCATTACTGTGCACGCGCTGCTCTACCATTGAAGATATGGAATTAGTTGCAGGTAAACACAAATGGTCATTAAAGGACGCGATGCGAAGTTATAATTTAAAATGACAAAATTTATCCTCAATTTACCTGTTTTATGCCGTGCTACTAAAACTACAGCTTGAACCGAAATTCACTTAATAATTAAAAAAAAAGTTCCTGGACACCTTCGTCTATTATAAAGCAAATACTTTCTCGTGTGCTAATGGAGCGGAAACTCATCAGGCCCGATTAAGAAATTCAGAAGCGAATTTCCGCGGTAATAAATAAACAGGAAGCCAGATTAGATTACCAAAAATATATTTCCCATGATTTATTTATAAGTTTTATGGTTCAAGTCGTAAATTAGAAGAAAAGGCTCAAGATTGTGTGGAGCTTGAGAGAGGTGTTAGAGTGCTCTGCCACGAGTCTCAAGGACGACATAATGCAACAGCTGCAGTCAGAGAGCTGCCAACGGCCTTTGCAACACCTGCTTCTGCAACAATGGCATGACTACATGGCTTTAGCTTGCAGAGTTCCGCAAGTGTAGCAAAGGTTTTTATTTTTGCTAAAGATTTCTATTTTTGACAGGGATGGCGCCCACTAGCTCAGTCATTCCATATTGTTGTACTTCTCAATATAGAACTGCACTGAGGATTCTGATCTCGTCAGGGATTAATCATAATTAAACATTAATTATTTAAATCATAAGAAAATAACCATGACTAGAGCATAAAAGTTTATATCATTATCGTAAAGACACGAAACGGATAAGTGAACCCGAAATCGAAGCTTCTTGATTCAATGGAAAATGATCGAAGAAAATTCTAAGGGATGAAGTCATTACGCAATAACAGTCTTTTTAAAATCGCAAACCAGTTTTCCAGCTCTTATGATCAGCATTACGAAGAAAATAAGAAAATAATAAAAATAGGTTTACAAGAAGATTCGATAAGCTTAGTCTGTGTTCCAAAAGCCGAGTGATTTCTTAGTGAAATTGTGAAGGAAAAGAAATTTGCGGACGTCAATTCAAGGGTGCTCCAATCAACCAAATTTTCAAACCTTGCAAATTTTTTCCATAGGACGTAAAACTTATCAATCCATACAAGGGATTTTAAAATGGTGGTTAATTATGCATAATTTCTCTCATAAAAACAACTATAGGAGCACAAGCTAATCATAAAAAATAGACCCTGTGGGAGGCCGTGCGATAAAAGGCCGTCTCGCTCGCTGTATCAACAGCGATGACAGAAAACAAACTGGCAACAGGAGTGGCAGCTTGTCGACAGCTGCTGCTTTGTGTGCCACCAATCGGCTACTGTCAACAGAAAAAACGAGCAATCAGCTGTTAATGGACGCTGATGGCTCTTGGTCACGGATGAAAACTTGTGTGTAATAGTGGGAACTGAGAAGTATTTGAATACATATCAATATATGTATTCTGTATTCATTGTTTGTTTGTTTTGTAGCCAGTCGTGCGGGATTGTACAACTGCAAACAAATACATCGCTTTAAAAGAGCAGCGAATGACCCGTTGAATGGCCAGTGATATGTATTCGAGAGATAAAGTAAGTAGAAGTATTACTTATATGCTGTTCCTTATTACGATGATCATTTCTTTAAATTAAGCTATGAAAGTATTATTTAACATAATGGGTGTTAAAAGCATTTTCATTTCTTTTAGGCCGACCACTAGCTCTAGCGTAAAAGCTTTCTTGTATCCGCCAACTCATTTACTAGTTGCCTGTCAGCTGAGAGTTTTTTAAGCCATAGCTCCAGTAATTTGGTCAGAACTCGTTAGTAATTTGTTGATTTATGATTCACGATTTACTTATAGTTGGAATATGAATCAAGTCGTTATGTTCTTTATATGATATTCTTGTATTGTTTCAGAAACCGGTAAATAAGTAGGTACTAAACCTCGAAAGCGTGTTTTCTATACTGTATCCTACGAACCTCAAACCTAATAAGGAATCAACCCAGGATTCTTTACAATGGGTTTAAGGGTTTGAAATTTTCCCTACTGGTTTTGGGGAATCATTCATCTCGCTCGTTGAAGGTCAATTTGCACGATCGCCTGATTGAGCCAAATTCTTCAGAATTTTTCATACTCTATTTGAAAAAAAAAAATTTCAAACGAATATTTTGCACAAGAATCTCATAATTTTGTTGCTCGGTTAAAGAGTTTCACCTCGACAAAAAACAAGGCGCTCAACAACTATAGCTAATGGACTGACACTCCTGTCCATTAGCTGAGAAGTGGATTTAGCATAATTCAATGGACCAACACTTCACCCAGACATTCTGATCCACTGGAAAAATTAGGATTTTGAATTTCTAGGCAAAACAGGAGAAATTTTTAGCTGAAAGTTTAGTTCTACCAGATTATTTCGACCTAAAGCTATATATAGAAGACATAGATTCATTTCGTCACTCTCACATAAGGTCAAAATAATAGAGGTGGGTCGTTTCAGTGAAGATTAAACTATTGGTTTGATTTAATAAAGTTGTTCAGCTATATCGAAAAAGCAATTTAATGGTGTGGAAAAGAGTTGAGAATTGGGAGTTACAATTAGGAATGAGCTCAGAGCAATGGAATATCATCCCGCGATGGTGATATCAACAGATTAAATGGCAATGACGAACACAACAACTGTTGGATTTGCAACCGCTGATGCGGCCACAACAGCCCCATGCAGATGTTGTGGCAGACCTTTTTTGACAAGACAAGTAGCAGGAGCAGCAACAGTTCAGTTCGCGCGGAAAAAACAGCAAAAAACGCCGCGTAAAGACCCAGAAACCGAAGTAAATACAACAGAAATAACAATAGAAACCGAAGCGAAAAGCATGGAAAAGGATACAGGGAAAGCAGTGAAAAGCTCAACAATAGCCAGAGAAGCAGCAGCAAAAAACACATTTACAGCCGAAGAAACAGCAGCAAAAAGACAGGAACAGCCACAAAAAAAACAGGAATATTGTTAGACTAAAGTAGCGCGGTAGCATTAAGTTCAGCAGAAGATCCTTCATCATAAATTGTTCAGTAGAATGAGAGTTAACACAGCAGCAACAGTAGAAGTGATAGTGTAAGTAGAAGTAGCTTGGATGTAGCAGCGCATGTAGGAGTCATATTAGCAGCATAAGTTGAAATAGCAGTAGAATTAGAAGAAGGGGCGCTGCAGGTTTGTCAGTGCATCTAGAAGCAACATTACAATTAGAAAAACAATAAAGATGAAATTGGAGCACTGGTGGAAGTACAAGCTTCATTAGAAGCAGCAGTACAATTAAAAGAAGCAGCAGTGTAGGCAGACTTAGCACTGCATGTAGCAGTAGACGCAGCAGTGCACGGCAGCGGCATTAAGATCAAGAGCCGCATAGCGTAGCCGCGTTCCGAGGCTGCAATAGGAAGGTGTTTCTGGCACGACAGTCGTGCGGTATCGAAGGCTTGCCAAGCGCTGCTGTACATCGCTATGTCGCACCATCCCGGCCACACTATCGTGAAAATGTTCTAGCGTAAAAATGTTTTATCGGTACAGTGAGCTGCATGTTCTTCTTGGTTGCTCCCACTTCATGCAAGTTCGCCATGAATGTTCTCTAAATTTGGCTCATTTGCGCGGGATATCATCTACATGTGT